TTCCCCAATTGAATACACCAAATCGAGGAGATGGCTTACGTCGTTATCATTAGTTTTTAGACTGCAGAAATGACTAAAAAAAAAGAAAATCCAACTCAGTTTAAATAAAGAGCAACTCAGGTTAAATATCTAATTGATGTGTTTTGCAAAGTTGAGAGTTTTGATACCCTAGTTTGATACCTATAACTAAAATTTCTGGACTTAATTTATGTTAAAATTTACAGTAATATTTCTTTAATATTTCACTTTTTATTTGTTATTTTTCACATATTTTTCAACTAATTAATTTAATACATTTACTTGATTTAACTTTTTTCTTTACGTGTGTAAAATCGAAATGTAAATAAAAATGATAATAATAATGAAGAAATAAAAGTAAGAATTACAGTAAGAAAAGTCGTAGATCTAAATATTTGTAACCTAATATTAGTGATTTAAAAGCGGCTAAGTTTAATATATTAATATAGGTCAATAAATTATTTATTAAACCTCATGTTAAATATTTAAGTAATAGTTAAATAACTTTGCTAATTAGCATTTCAATAAAAGTAAAATTTTCTTTAAGTGTAAAGTACTAAGGTGTATCAAAAACGTATAACTTTAATAGATTTTTAATGTTAGTTTAATAGGTGGAATAAATTGAATAAATATTAAAAAGTATGGAATAAATGTGCTTTTATTGTTGTAGGTATATTTTATTATTAAACTGAACAACAAAAATATAAAATTAGAGAAATGTAACCTGTAGTAATGTAAATTAATTTCGTGTCTTATTCGTGTCACGCTCTCAACACTAACTTCTGGGATTTTGACTATATTTTGAATAGGAATTCAATGCTTATTTTACCTGCTGTTTCTTATTATTTATTTTCGGCTGCATCGCTTCCGAATTCGTGTCACGTACACATCTCTAGCTGGATCCCAATTGCCTATTTAATAGAAAGGATAAACTGAAATAGGAAAAGACTTGAAACGCTGCCACAGTTCGTGTCTCCTTAAATTGATGCTCATTCCGATGCTGGAATTCGTGTCACGCGCACATCTCTAGCTGCTCAGAGATTTGATAACTGCTTTAAGGCAACTCTTTAGCATTTGGTGTTTAAATTGATGTTTGTCGTCCTGTTATTCGTGTCACGCGCTCATCGCTAACTGCTAACACCCTTAGCCGCCTGCCAACCCCCCACAGATAATTTTTGCTGTCAAGTTTTCTGTGTCCACGATGGATTCCGCTTGAGCTGAACTCCTCAGCGCACGTGCAAAGCCACTTCAATTACTTTAGCTGATTCTCTTTTGCTGTAGCTATATCTGTGTGTGTGTCTGTGTGAGTCGGCGTCTGTATGTGTGCGCGCTGGCAAAGTGTTAAGTGCTAGCTGAAGTAGTCGAGTCGAGTGCTCTGTTTTAAGCGCTTTTTAGAGCTGAGCTGAGCTGAGCTGAAGCTGCAGCTGAAATGTATGCTACGATTTTTGTTATATATGCATTTCTAATTAGAAAAGCAGCAAGTCAAGTATGCCATTAATTTTACATTTGCGCATTTCAAGTGCGTCAGCCAGACCCCAGCCACGCCCACCAGCGAGCATTGAAAAAATTGGCAAGTACTTGGGCGAGCACTTGAAGCGTGCGCCTGACTTTCCATTGATAATTCGCTTCTGTTGTTGTTGTTGTTGTTGCCTTTATTTTATGTTATTAATTAGTTTTATCCCTCTTTCGCTTTTCGGCCAACTGGGGGCGCTGCTGCAGCAGTCAATTGGGTCAGCAATTAAATTTAGTTAAGCCTCTGCATTCGATACGTTTGTTTTTTTTTTTTTTTTTTTTTTGTTCCTACTGCTCACATATTTTAATGAGTGCAGCGCACAATTGGCTCGATTGGCTTGATTTATGTAAAGTTTATGCCAGAGTTCGAATTGGCTTTAACAAGGCGGCACAAGGATGCGCATGTGTGTGCGAGTGTGTGTATGTGTGTGAGTGTGTGTGTGTGTGCGTTCAGCTGCTGCTGCTGCGGCTTTGGCTGCTTCATCATTTTAACGCAATTTCCTTGGCACTGAAATGGAAATTTTCATTTCGTTTTGACCTCTTGCTAAAGCTTACCTCCTTTACATGTATCCCATATGAATATGTATGTATATATTGTACAATAAGTATATTTATTTTTATACCCGCTCAGGAAGTGAGAGAAGAGTATATTGGTTTTATGAATACAATATGTGGAATGTTTGTATAAACGGAAAGCAGACATTTTGTATTTTTAAGCTTGCCTTATGAAATATTAAGATTTTTTGCATACGCTTAGTGGAAGGCGTGGCAAATGGCCAGTCGGAGGGTAAAGTGGAATTATTGTGGCTTTTTTTGAAAGCTGAAGACTTGACATTTGTTGTGTATATGATATTACGTATGTAGAAATAATAAAAATTTTTTTGTATTTACTAATATTATTTTTATTTACTAATATTTTGTTTTGTTTTTTTTTTTTCACTTCCTTTAATGCATATTTTATATTATTTATATATAAATAATAAATATTTATTTTTAATTCATTATTATTTTTATTACTTTTTATTATTTATATATTATTTTTAATATATTCCTTTTTTTTCCAATATTCTGTACTATAAATTCAGAGTACAAATTAATTTTTTTTTTATTTTAAAATAAGAAATATTCAAAATTAATTAAAAGTATATCTGAATATACATACCATTCTATATATATCTTTTGCCTCGACTATGGCCATGAGTGGGTGAGGAAACGTATCGCAAGCTGCTCGAAGTTGACTTGTTGGCATTTTTGTTCACTTCACGAACAATGAATTTCTTTAGAATCGCTCGAACCTTGTTCTCCAAAGTGGCCCAGAGAGACTAATCCATTAAATACGCGTCTGGTGAACTCAAGAGTTCATTGTGTGGTCGCACTCGAGCTGGGAATATAGTTTTGCTGGCATTTTATATGTTATAGAAATTTGTATAAATATACGTTCCTTAAGGGCGCGGTCAATTGGTGAAAGTAAATGTAAAAGTGGCACAGTTAAAGAGTACAGTTATTTTAAAGTTGTAGAGGTGAAAAAACAGTCTAGTAAGAGAGTATACCTCATCTACAGCTAAGCTGCCCCTTTTATACCATGAGCCTAGCCTCTGGAAGAATGGAAGAAGAGCGTTATATCACAGGTTTATCAGAGCAAGCTCTTGTCTCTGCAGTCTTAAAGCTAGGCTTGGATATTTGATCGGCTGTTAAGTGCCTCATCTACTTTTCATCTCACCTTCACACATATAACTTTATATTATTTTTGTTTCTGTATTCAAATCGGATTCTGCCTGCACGAGTATGAGGCAGTCAGTTGAGCGCTCGCCTGTAATATTCAGACTTGTTTTTCTCTTCTCTGTTCTTTTCTTCGTGCTTCATAAATTATAAATAACTTAATCGTGTCCGAGCGTATTGAACTGTGCGTCAAAAAGGAGCAAGCAAAAGGCAGAAGGAAAGAAAAAAAAAATGAAATAAAGGGGCGGCTCAAGGATCGAGTCGTTTTGTTCAATTTGAAGCGGCTTAACGGCTGACAAATGCACAGGCATCATTCAAACTAGGCTGTGCGAGTGTGTGTGTGTGTGTGTGTGTGTGTGTGTGTGGGTGTTGCCTGATTAAGATGCTGCGACTTGACTTCATTCATGTGTTAACATTATATGACGCCATAAGTGCGTTTGTGTGTGTGTGTGTGTGTGTGTGTGTGAGCCATGCTTGATTTGCTCAATTCCGGTTCATTGAATTCCGGTTGCCGCGTTTGCGAGTGTCCGAATGTGTTGAGATGCGATATTCTAATCCGATTTGTGTGTTTGTACAATATATGAATTATGCCATACATACATACATACATGCATATGTACATAAGCTATATGGGCGCCTGCTTCACTTGGCCATATAAATTATGAAAACAACAATTAAGCAGCACAAAAATAATTATGTTTAATCAGCATTTAGCTGCGCAGCCCATGCATAAATACTCCACTCGATTGCAATGGCGAATCGCGCAAGCGAATGCATTATTGTAATAAATATTCACTGAGCAATTTACGAATATCAAATTTTATAATTATTTGATCACATTCATAAATAATCATTTGGAAATTTTCGAAAAAGATTTAGGTTTATTGTTGCTAATCGAAAATTGTTTGAAGGACGTACATAAATCTGGTTTATATTGAGTTTTTGCAGTTTTTTTTTTTTCTAAAATATGATATGATCTATCAGATTTGCTTGCAGTTTGTTTTATCTATATAAATAAATATTCTTACTTGCTTTTATTTTTGGGCATAACTTAGATATGAATAAAATGATTTTAAATACATTTCACTTCAATTTAAAACATATATAAAAGTTGTCAACTTCCCCATTTGTGCACACACTTTTGCCCGCCACTGTGGACAATTTGCTAGGCTTGCTTAATATTAAGTATACGGCGCAGCAGCGCAAGCTGATAGCAAATCAGCTTTGATGTAAATTCCACTTCGCTTATTAATTTGGGAAGGAATATACATACATATGTATATATTTATATATTTTTTTCGGCGACCAACCACTGCATCAGGTGGTGCAGAGTGGCGTCGAGTGGTGCTCGCTTGCTAATTAAAATAAGAAGCAAAGATAAAGACATCAATTATTACAGCGAGAGTTTTTCTTTCTTTTCTTTTTTTTTTTGCTAAGCAGCCGACAAAATTTGCGTTTGCTGATGCAGCAAATTCTAATTAATTTGAGCGCACACAGAGAGAGAGAGAAGGAGAGAGTGAGGTATATATATGTCCAACTTGACTCGTGTTACAATAAATTCTGCAAAATGTTATACAACTAAAAATGTTTACATTGTCTGCAGCTAATTGAAATTCAAATTATTTTCATGGCGCAGCAGCAGGCGCTTGATAAGTAATTAAGATTGCGTAGGCGTTGGCAATTCATCATAAAAAAAAAAAGATCATAATGATATATAACAATTTATAAAGGCTTTTTTTTATTACGTATACTTAATATATTAAAAGCTAAATTTTATATTTATTACGTATACTTAATGTGCATTTGTGCTTTTTCTTTTGTTGTACAATCTAGAAATAACATTTATCTACAGCATTAATAAAAAAAAAAAACAATTGAAGAGACCTGAATACGATTTCTAGTTATCTCTCAATAGGATCACATGAATTGTTGCCGCGCCAGACGCCTTTTTGGTCGTTTCGTATATAAATTGCTGTTGTTGTCTAACATATTTCTAGGGGTTATGATAAGACGTAATTAAGCTATGGCTAATTGCGCAATTGAATTACTCAGTCAAACGTTCGATTTGTATGGTCGCATGTTTGATATTGTATCTGCTGCCACAGGCCAGTTGGGTGGCCAGCTCCACCACAACATTCGGGTCGCTTAGCCCATCTGAAACGAGAGATAAGATAAGATGACGATATGCACTTGATATGGATATATATTTTATGCGCTGGCTAAGGCTTACCCACAACCAGATGAGCCATCAGCACATTGTAGTCGCTCGTATGCTGCCAGACATTCACATGATGTACCGATCTGTTGTTGTGAGAAAGAGAGAGAGGAAGAGGGAGAGGGAGCAAGAGAAGATAAATTATAATTTATAATTTAAGCGAGTTCAATGACCTCGACTGTCACTCACTTGACACCCTCAATGCCGCACAGCTCGTGCTGCAGCGTCGCCAGGCACACATTCCGCGGCACCGCATCCAAGAGGACGCCGACAGACTCACGGAACAGCTGCACTGTGGTCATAATCACAATTATCGAGAAGAGCAGCGTACACAATGGATCCACGAACTTGGCGCCCGGCTGCATACCAAGCATAAATAAATTATTTACGTTGTTGTTGTTGTTGTTTATTGTATGCTCATTTTTAATTGATGTCTAGACCTCTTCGATGAACTCAACTCACATAGAATTTGATTAGTATGGCCGCCAGAAAGACGCCGATGCTCTGCACCAGATCCCCAATCACATGAATCATTGCGGCTCGCAGGTTAAGATTGCGTTCGCTCGACCTATGCGGATTAAGCAGGAAGATTGCATTATAAACACACACACACAAATACATGCACGTATGTATGTTGTATATAAGTATAAAACAAATATTAACTTGAGGCATCTCGCTGCACAAATTAATAACTGCAAATCAAGCATAGCTAATGCAGCTCTCGCTCTCCCTCTCGCTCTCCCTGGTCTGTGGGCCATGCAACTAAATTAAATTCCAATTACACGTAATCAAACAAACAATTGCCTGCAGACAACAACAACAACAACAGCAGCTGCTGCTGCTGCTGCTGCTACTTATTGCTGTTGTTATTGTTGAGTCAATTGTTGTTGTGGTTACGCTATACCCTGTATATTTGGCGGCTGCCTGTCGAGAAGGTAATTGTGTGAAAATTCGAAAATAATTCAATGTTAATGCGCCACTAAATCTCAAGTGCAGCAATTGTAAATGGAGTGTGAGATCTTTTGGTAGGGGCAGACAGAGACAGAGGGCGGCAAGGTGGAGAGCAAGAGATGAGATGTTTCTAAAGCCGTACACAAATCACTCTTCTTCAGTTTAAGTTTAAGTTTCTACTTCTTCTACTTCTTGCAACCTATCGTTATCTGGTTCATTCTTTTTTTTACCTTCCTTCATTACACTTTAATTTCCCTTTCTCTCTCTCTTTATAGTTAGTATACCGTATAATACTATACTTTTGCTCTGCGTACTCTGACAGTACTCTACTCAAGTCTAGTATGTTTCAGTCTATTTTACTCCATCTTTCACTACTCTAATTTACTCAACTCTATACTGATCTAATCTTGTGAACTCTACACTACTCTAATTTAATTTATTTTAGTTAAAACTCTACTCTAATCTATACTTCTTTACTCTAGTTACCTCAGCTCTACTCTATACTACATTATATACTATACACTATACTCTACTCTGATCTACTTTACACTACTTTGCTCTGCACTACTATACTCTACTTTATCCGACTCTCCCCTACCCTAAAATACTCTATTATCAAATACCATATTTTCCCATCTTATAAAATACTATATACTCCTCACTTTACAACCCTACTATCTATACTTTTGTATTCTAAACTTCCCAACTCTACTCATTTCATATAAGCCTTAATTTGCTCTACATTTCCTCTTTGTGCACTACCCATTCCGTTCTCACATTTGCTACTTTCTATATTATACTTAACTGTGATCTCCCGGACTCGATACTCTTCAATACTTCTCCGCTCTTATACTTCGCTAGTTCTCTCTACTCATCTTTGGTCTCTCTCTTTTTGACTCCTGTCTTTCCTTTAATCTAGCTTACCCTGCCCTTCTTTTGACTCTACTCTGTTCTTAATATCCTAAGCTTAAATTGCTTCACAATGGTCCTCTTATAGTTATCTTCACACTTTACAGCACATCTCGCAGTCGTGTATGCCCCACACTTTTATAATTTACTAATTTTGCCGCTGTTTGACAACAAATTCATAAGAGTTTCAACCGCAAGCCACAAAATTGCAGCTGGCCATTTGAATCAATAACATTGTTCCACATATATGCACACACACACACACACACACACATGTATTTATGCCTGTATGTATGCATTTTACGGTATATATTGTGTATATATTACATTAAAAATCAACCCTTTTGGCCAACACACCTACCCATTGGGCTGGATTGACTTTAAGCCATTTGCCATGACAACATTATGCGCGTCCTCGCTGGGGCTTCCAATGGTTTCACGCCCATGCCCATCACCGTGACTGTGACTGTGATTGTGATTGTGATTGTGACTGTGACCGTGACTGTGACTGTGGCCATGGCCACTGGGCCCCATAAACCAGGAGCCATGCAATACGAACATCATGCTGCGGGCAGGAGAAGAAAGAAAACATTTCATATTTATATTTAATTAAAAGCATGCGAAATTATTTCAAGCGTGACAAATTGCGATATTACAAAAATTCCAAAATTTGCTCAAATTCATTAAAATTCAAATTATCAAAAAACACCTTTTATGAGCATAAAATATATATCAAAGGATAATTGTTAGAAATCTAAGGAATACTTCAAGTTTGGCTAGAATCGCATGATAAATTCCGATTTATAATCGAAATAGTTAATTGAGTTTTGAATTGAACATTTTTAAATATTTGAGGGAATTTCATCTTCTTTTTAGTTGTACAAATATTTATTTATTTTATTTTAATTCTATTTTTAAATGTGAAAAAATTTGTTTTTTATTTTATTTAATTTTTTTATTTTTATTTTATTTTATTTTTTATACTACATCATTTATATATACAAGTGTATATGATAACTTCACTGGTAAAATTTCACATCCTTAAAATCAAAGTTCTATTTATTTTTATATTCTTCAAAAATAAATAATATCTTTAGGGAAACTTTAACTTATGTAAATATTATTTTGTTTAATATTTAAATAAAAAAAAAAACTTCAATAAAATGTATTTATATTTAAATTATTTAAAAAGAAATATAAAATTTATACAAAAACTGTTGGCTCTAATTCGGTCAGTTTTCCTCACCCTTACCCTTACCTTTTTCTCTATGTGTATGCATAAATACAAATTTATCTTCTACTCACACAACATTGATGACAATGCCAATGGCCGATATCCACATCATGACATTAACATCTAGCTCGAACTGCAGCGACCAAATGCGTTCGATGGCAACAATGACGAGCATTGCCGTCAGCAGCCAAATGCCCAGGATGGAGATCAAGGCGCCGACGACCTCTGCAATGAAAAATAGAGAAAATCGGGATAAGCGACTGATAGCCACAGCAGGTGAATGAGTGTGAGTGCGTGTGTGTGTACAGGTGAGTGAGTGTGTGTGTGGGTTGCATGGCAAATAATAGAGAGACATGTGAACGTGTGCTTGGCATAAATGCAATTACATGACCAAAGCGAGCAGATGAATGTATGAGTGTGTGTGTGTGCATGTGTGTGTGCATGTGGCATTGTAAGTGGTTATGTCTGTCAACTGTGGCTCTATCTCTCTCTCTCTCTCTCTCCGTCTCTCTCTCTCTCACTGTACACTCATTAGCATAGTGTCGAGACCATAATTGGTATACTTACCAAAACGTTTGTAACCGAAGGACATGCGTGCATCTGGCGGTCGGGCGCCCAGCCAAATGGCGACCAGGCCGATGACGAAACTAATGCAATCAGATGCCAAATGCGCCGCATCGGCCATAATGGCCAGACTTCCGGCTATATAGCCGCCAAGGAATTCAATAATCTAATCAAGTATATATAGAGATAGATATACATATATACATAGGTAAATATGTAGACCAAGTGTATGTAGAGCGCGGAATTTATCTTAATTAAATCAAGCATATATAAGTTATATATATGTGTGTGTGTGTGTTTATAGTGTGTGTGTATGTGTGCGTTTGCTCACCATGAATATGCAACAGAGCGAAATTGCAAGCAGAATTTTAAATTTCGCCTCCTGCGCCGATTTGCTTTTAAGGTTCGCGCCAAAGCCCGGCTGAGCGCTGCGACAGGCGACAAAAGTGTCGATGCTCGTATCCAGCTGCTGCAAACATAACGGTAATAATTGCCTTATAAATATGCCAGCCTATATAAACACACACACACGCACACACACACAAATGGGTGTGCATGTGTGTGTGAGTGTGTTTGCATATAAATGGAGTGCAATGCAGTCGAGGGGCGAGCGTCGAGAGCCGAGCGTAATAAGTGCTTTAATTGAACAATTTGAGGTTATGGAGAGCTTATGGATATTTAAGTATAACACTATATAACTCTTATACTATATATTGTGGGCTATATGTATTGAGAGATAAAATTAAAGGGCATGCCTTAAGTTGTTGCCACTTAAGGACACTGTTAAGGGTTCATAAATCAGCGACGTGCACTTTGCAGTGCAGTGTAGCAACTGTACTTGGCTTTCAGCTAGCAATTGAGGTTATGTAGAGTTTTAAGATGAATGTAAATAAATATGAGGTATAGAAGGGCAGCGTTACTCCTCCTTCTCTGTGGCAAAATGAACAATCAGTAAATGGAATAATAAAATTATTTATCTAAAGTAAAGAGTATGGTGCATTATCGTAGGATTTACGATATGCATTATATGTATATTATTAATGGATAATAGAATAGTCAAATGAATTCTGCATAAATAGCTAAAAAGTTAATTTGCAGCTGGGGCAAACTCTTTCATTTGATCTTATCGCAGATAGAAATCATTTACGATACCAAACAAATTTACGATATTGATAACAATCATAGGTAACTCGTCAGTCCATCAGTTGGCAACACCAATACTTCTACAAATAGATTACTTTGCATTGGATAGTGCTTCACCTTGAAGTTGGGCAAACGCGGCGTATGTGTAATTTATTTACAATATTCTTTTGTTTATGGCACAGATGTTATCTTTACGGTGCTCGAAAAGCTATACCTTAGAATTGAAGTGACAAAATTGTGTGAAAAGTATTTTGTTAATTTTAGTTAAATATTTCTTTCAATTTGCCTTCAAATATTCTTGAGGTAATGTTCTAAGAGATAGGAAATTTATTTTTAAATACCTTAATAATTATTTTGAAAGGTAACGTGAACAATAAAAATTATAATTACTTAATAAATATTAAAATGTATAAGGAAAACGAATAAAAAGAATATAAAATTACTTAATTGTATTGATATTAATATTAATAAATAATAACAAATAAATGTAGAATAATTAATAATAATAAATTAATAATAATAGAATAATATTCATAATAATTATGAAGCGTTTATATCCATCTCTGGCTTCTAATATTTAATATGGATAAATAAAAATATTAATGTATTAATGAAATAGTTGCGCTCAACAGGTAAACTAGTGCAGATCGACTTAGATCGTTGTCTTAAATAAGAATATATCATATCGAGCTCGACAAAAACTTATAGGTTAGAGTACGTAGATATAAGTAAAGGACTCCAAAATTATCTTACTTTTTGGTATTCTATTAAATAAGTATATCGTATTGCTGTTACCTATACTCATGAATATTATGCATCATCCTAATGCTCTCATTTCAAGTTCATTAACCTTTTATCATTATTTTATTAACTCAACTTACCAAATTAATGTGACTATTGTTGCTGCTGCTGCCGCCGCCGCTGCGCAGCAATGGCACCTCCCACGTGTGCTCCTCCAGATCCAAGGCTTCGGCTCTGCTGCCTCTCATTGGATCCAGATTGCCATTGCCACTCCCATTCCCATTGCTGCTGCTGCTGTTGTTGTTGTTGTTGTTGGGGGAGGAGTTATAGTGATATTTGGGATTACCATTTGGCATGTGAGTGCTGTTATTCAGTCTTATATGATTGCTGCTAGGATTGGTATGCTGCTGCTGCTGCTGCTGTTGATGCTGCTTATCATCCCCATAGAGTGAAAAACTCTCATCGTAATCGTCATCGTGCATTGTGGGTGCCAACGCGTTGTCAAGTTTTTGATATTTTGACATTGTTGGCGCTTCTGCTTCTGCTTCTGCCTCTTTCTTATTTTCTTGTTTCCACGCGGGAGTTCCTTGTGCAGTGTGTGTGTGTATGCGTGCGTGTGTGTGTGTGATTTACTTGCTTCGAGCTGTTGGTTCTTTGGGATTTTGCTTATTATCTACATTGCATTTATCATAATTAGTGGGCGCTTGTCATTCTCCAACCATGTTTTGTCATCATTCGCATCATTATTGTCATCATTATTATCATCGTCATTAGTGTCGTTGTTGCTGTTGTCGTTCGCCCGGCGAGCGCTTCATTAGCCGTACTCCAGCCCGTCTCCGGCGTGTCTGCGTGTCTTTTAATATATAATTTTCTGTTGCAAAAATGATTCAAGTATATATTTTTGCTTGAGTTTAAAGAAGTTTCTATATGTGTGTGTGCAGATGTCTGGTATGTATATGTGCGTGTATTTATGTTCACTTATATTGTGTTTACTCGGTTTTTTATTTCACATTTCATTTCATTTCATATACAAGTATACGGAGTGTGATTACTTTGTTTATGAATGCCCTTCCGGTTCACGAGAGCTATTTTAGAATACATTAAGTGAATGGCAGGTGGAGGATAAACACTGCCAGATACTCTAGCATAAGATGTAGATAAGAAATATAGTATATAGAGTAGGGTGAGAGAGTATATTTAGGCAATAGTAGGGTAAGGTTTACTTAAGGTATATATACCTTATATACCCTACTCATCAAACAAACTAATATACCCCACTACCATTTGCCGTACAGCGCATAAATACAAAGCATATGCTCAGCTGGCTTTTAATGAAATTAAACTAATGCCATTTGCTTAAAATCTTACGTACTCAAAGAAAAAGCCATTTGAGCATGAAATATTTGGGCTATAGAAATTATAATCGGCAGATCTAAAAAAAACATAAATTATAGGAGCAAAATCTTTGAAGGCTATAAATAATCTAGTATATAGTATACAAATGCACTTTAGATTAAAGAAACTACGCAAAGTCATGAGCTTAGCAAAGTCAAGAATATTAATACCCTATAAAATTGTGGGGCTGTAGACGCACATTAATATGAATTATTTTTAATATAATATAATCATAATCATAATCTAATCATAATCATAAGAACGCTAAACATAATATAGGAATGCGTATATGCCCGTTTATACGCTATGAATCTTAGTTGAACTTTAGTCGACTCTTTTAACTATTCATAATTGTATCTCAATCGCATTTGGGGTTCTTTGCCCTATTATCTTGGCCGAAAACGTTATGTCGTTTACATGTCTTAAGTGCTTCGCCTATGTTTTCATTTCCACATTGTTGTTGTTTTATCTTTTCGTTTGCTTTGCACTCTCATTCGCATATTTATTGTGTGTCGCTTGCCTTTATATTTGGGCGCTTCGTGTTGAAGATAAGCATTACATTACAATTCCCATGCTGTCGGGGCTATGATTAACTTGTCACACAGTCAAACAGAGAGAGGGCGAGAGCGAGTGAGAGACGGAGACAAAACACATGCTAAAGCAGCGCTGGCAACTAGTGAACAGCAATTAGCACTCGATGTGACACAATTTTTCGACTTTTCTGACCACTTCAATCAGTTTTTGAGTCATTTTGTTTTCAGATTAGATAAAATGCCGATAAGACTAAATATTAGATATATATGTGAATATACTTGTGAGTAAATTAAATTTGTAGCAAGAGCTTCAATATATTGAATGTAAACATCAAATACACTTCAGCAAAAACTTGAGTATTATTTATATACCTACATATATACTAAATATATATATATATACATAGATACCGTTGGGACCGCTAATGCCCGCTGAGCATTGATAAAATGTACGTGCGCTTGGCACACTTTTGTTGTTATTGTTGTTGCTTGTTGTTGTGGAACTACCCCTAACAGCTCCCCGGAACACTTAGCTAGTTCCAGCTACTAGAAAAGTGATTTGAAAAGAATTTATTGTTGACAGCGTGGCTTCCTTTGTGTCTGTGTGTTTGTTGTGATTTCATTTCAATTTTGTTTTCATGTGATTTCCATTAATAACAGTTTATTTATGGCTGCATTGCATGCGTCTTCTTGTGACGTCTTTTCTTTTCGATTTATAGCTAAATTTGGCTATTTTATTTACTTTAACTTAGGCAACGAGAAGAATTTCAAATTTTAAGCAATTAAAACTTGTTGGCGTTTTCTACAAATATACTAATTAATTTATACATAAATACAACAACAGTAACTGTGCATTGCAATTGCGTTTTGTGTTTTGCCTGTTCATTGACCTTCGCAACAGGTTTTTGTTGTTGCTCTTTGTTTTTGCTGATGAGCGGCTTTTTCGATATATTATCGAACTAGTTTGCACCAGCTGCTGCAGCCGGTGTAGCTGTTGTTGTTGTTGTTGTTGGTCTTGTAACTGTTATTATTTGTGTTTAGAAGCTGCACTTGAACCGGCGCACGTGAAGCCGGTCGAACGAGAACACGAGACGGAGACTGATAGAGCGAGAGAGGGCACGCGCGTTGGCAAGTGCAGCCCGAAGAGAGCGAGCTTACGCGAGAGTTGAGGCACGATTAAGCCGTTATCAGAATCAGCGATAAAGCAAACATGTAAATTAAGTTGTCTGCGTCCCTTTTCAATTCGCACCTTTCACGTGATTGCTGTTTCTTTTGCACAAAGCTTTAGCATTGTCAAAGTTTTTCATATCCCAGTCCCGCTCTCGTTCCCTTCCTTCCGACAGTTTCGCTGCGTGTTTACAACGTTAATGACGTGTTGTTGTAGGTCCATTCATTATAATTTGTTTTTGTGTGTGTGTGTTTTTTTCTAGGAAATGCGATTTTAATGGCATTTTATTTATAGTGTTATATTCACCAAGGTAAGTAATGCAATGGTTATAAAATCAATGTTTATATGTTTTTTTATTCATTTATTGAGCGATTGAACTACCTTTAAATTTCCGTTAATATTTCTATTAAATTTTTTATTTTTTGCAATATTTTACGTTTAAAGTATTTTTGCTTTTGTCAAGATCGTTAGCGAGGCGTGGGTATTTTTATTGTATTTGTTTTTCCTTTTCTGTTTTAGCGCTTTTGTTTGTGTCACCGTTGCAGACGCAGACGCGCTCGTCGCCAGCGACGCATGAACTTCAACTAACGGCAGCGGCGTCAAAGCCACAGACCAAACGACGCGACGACAGCCAAGCGGCGCGAGTGTAAAAACAAAGCGTGAGCAAGCGAGCGAGTGAGCGAGCGAGCGCGAGAGAATGAGTGCGAGTGTGTGCAGCAGAAGAAGAGCGACAATGCGAGCGCGAGTGCGAGTGCGCCGGCAGCTACTACAAATAACTGAGCGTGACAAATGCTTGTAAGTATGTACGTATGTATGCTAGTGTTAATATATCATCTCGCAGCTGGCGCTGATTGCTATTGGCATCCTCTCACACGCTCTCATCTTTAGGCAACTGAGTGCGATTGCTTCCATTTTCCATTTGAGTGCTTTTGCGCTCTCACTCACTCAATTTGTTGAGGACGGTCTGCTCTGTGAATGAAGATCAGTTCGCCGAGACACCTTGCAGGCGACATTTGTATTTTTGTTTAGTTTTGTCTTGTTCTATTATTGTTGTTGGTTTCGTGCGTATATAATTATCGAAAGGTAAATAAATACTCACGCATTATTCATGATCCATTGCATTGAAATGTACAAATGCTTTCATTATCAAATGGGACACAGCAAGGAATGTGCAAGTATAAACATCCATATGTAGATACGTAAATACATACATACATATAAAAAATAAATAAATAAACTGTACATACATATATAAATATACATTTGTTATTTTTGCAATTCAGATGTAAGTGTGTATGTATGTGTTGAGTCTTTAAAGTACTGAAGTATTTACAACTGTTGGCTTACTTATACTATTTAATATCAGAATATTTGTATGTACGTATTACGTAAAAAATTAATTTTTGTAAAATACTGATACGAGGAATTGAAACCAACGCGTAATTTAACAGAGCAATACATATGTATATAGTATATATATACAGATATATATATACAGATACATATATATACAGTATATATATACAGATATAGTATTTTAGTATGTAAAAAGTATATCCAAATGTATTAATATGCTCCCGCATTATATATGTACATATATAAGCAGCCTGAAATATTATTCATACATATACCATAATTCTTGCGCTTAAAATATAAATATGTATATGGGTAGTAGGAAATATGTCTGATTAAACAACTAAAGTGAATCAATTTATGTAAATTAAATATTTTTGTGGCTCTCTAGCTTATTCTCTCCAAAACATAAAGCAGACTTCGTTCCTCTTTATATAGTTTTTAACTCCATATCTATCTTCAATTCTCTTCCTCTATATTTTTCTTTCTATCTCCAACTCTTTCGTTTTCTATGGCTTTTTTCAATTCCTTAATTTTTTTCCCTTGGATTCTTATTCTTTTACAGTTTTGTCTCCCGCTTGCTTCATCAAATACCGTTAAATATATATCGCCTCTCTATGCAATTCTCTTGAATGCAGTGATGCATTCTTGTGCTTTATAGCTTTCTTATCTGAGCTCACAGCAGTTGAGTACTTAATACGAACTGAATACATATTTATGCATATGTATGTATATATTTCTCTATCTATCTCCACATACACATTATCCCACTTAGGGATACTGCAATATTTTTCTTATATTTATCGAAAATAATTCTCGCTTGTCCTTCACTCACACCGAGAGATCTGTCTCATATTTTTTCACTTTTAAGTAAGTGTTGTAAAACGTTTTCATCCACCTCCCCCCTCTTCTCCTTTGGAGCCATGAAATAGATATTTTTATTGGCCAATTTCATGAATCGAATTTCTTGCAATGTTTCTCTAAGCCATAAATGAAGCTATTTACCGCAAGCGCTTCACGCTGCTGGCCATGTTACAGAACGATAAGATTTCAATTAATAAGATACACACAGTTTAAACAGACATGGATATAGATGTCGATAGAGATAGATAGATGGATGGAGAGAGAGAGAGAGAGAGAGCGAGAGGGCGAGCATGCTTAAAATGCGTCTTAGGTTACAGACAGGCAATTGCGTTAGTTGAAAATGGCTCTAAGTAGCCAGGATGTTTGCTACAGTTTGTTGTTGTCTTCACATCACACACACCCACACATACACATGCCACGCGCCACATGCCACATGCCACATGCCACATGCCACATACATATATACATATACTGTCTGCCACTTGTTTAGCTTTTACACCTTAAACCGCAAGTAAAATCTATTTTTATAGACAGATAAATAAAACAAAAAAATGTAGATAAATTAAATTTCCTTGGAAATTTAACAGCTTTTGGCTAAACTTTGCTCGTTTTTGTAGTATTTTTTTTGCTAGCATTTATTTTGTATTTTTGTGGCACGCCCCGCCAAGTAAACAAGCGCGTTGCGTATACGCCCCATATGACATGGCAGACTGCTAGGGAGCTAAATATACATGTGTGTGTGTGAGTGTGTGTGCGTGAGTGTGTGGGTGTTTTCTTCTCTTTTTTTTCATTCATGTGATTGTCTTCGAGGCCGCATTGCCAACCATTTTGAATAATCGCCTTCGAGCTGAACGAGCTGCTGAAGTGCTGCTGCTTCTCAACTATTCACGTCGCGCTCGATGATTGCTGCTGATGGCGTTTGTGTTGAAGTTCTTCTTCTTATGCTTGTTCTTCCGCTGGGCAGGTTAACTCTTAGCAGTCAGTGTGTGTGTGTGTGTGTGCGTGTGTGTGGGCGCAACAATTTGCTGTTGTTTTGTTAGCTGGTTAACGATAACTGACAAAACATGCAGCACAGATTAAACATTAAAGATTTGACTTCTGCAGCTAATCGACTGGCTAAATGGCAGTTGCTATCAAGCGCAGTGACATTCAGTTACATCTATGTGCGTGTGTGCGTGTGTGTGTGTGTATGGCGCGTAATTAGAAAGTCAAACAAATTACATTGACGGCTTGACTGCCACTTAATACAGAGCGTGAGAGAGGGAGAGGGAGAGCAGCAGCACTTGGCCAGCGTCTTGCTCTAAAGTAAAAATGCGTATTGAAAGAAACACCTACACACACACACACACCTACACACACACACACATCAGCAAACACTGTAACGATAACAGCAACAGAAACGGAACCAGCTGAAGCCGCATAACGAAGAAAATCAAGAAGCTATAAAGATAGACAGAGAAAGAGATAGAGAGAGTGAGAGAGAGATAGAGACAGAGATAGAGAGAGAGGGTGCTAGGGGAGTTGGCTGATAAAAATATCCTTGGCGGGATCTGTGCTGTGTCATGCGCTTGGCCAGGCTCAGACACTAAAAGGTAACTTGGCCGCTGTGGCAGACAGCAGCAGGACAACACGACAAAATGGGGCGAGAGTAAAGGGGTGTGGCATGCCATGGCACTGGCAGTGGCAGTGGCAGTGGGTGGGCAGGTGCGGCAGACAGGCCCTGGCAGGTGACAAGCAAAGTGAATTTAATACAAAGTGCCTTGAGCATTTCAATGACTGCGATGCCTCTGCCTCTGCCTCGGGCTGAGTGTGTGTTGCTGCGAGTGCGTATGTATGTGTGTGCGTATGTGTGGTAGCTGATTTTTTGATTCCCAGGAAATGAGGTATGCGCAACCCTTGGCAAGAAGTCAGCGCCCAAATAAGAAAGACACACTTTGATCTGATATGTAAAAGCACCTACAATTATTTATTTTCTTTTTATTTTTAGCCTAAGACTCATTTCTTCTAGATTGCGAATTAACAGGAGTTTCTCAACTAATTTCCAGAGTTGTTAGGAATTTCTCCAGGAATTCCAAAGAATTACTTAAACGTTTATTGAACTTTCCATTACGTTTGATGCTATTCTTAGCTGGCTAATGAGTTTAGTTGAGTTTGGTTTTCAGATTAACGATAATCAAATTGAAGTACAATTGGTAAGGAACGTTAAGAGCAATAATTTTCAAGCTAAGAGTGAAGTTCATGGATGACGGAATGATGGTTCAAACTTAAAAATAATTTATAATTATTTTCATTTAATTTCTGAAATAATTTATATAGCTTTTGTTTGTTGAGTTCAATATTCTAATATATTTTAAATAATATTAATAATTTTGTTTGTTGAGTTCAATATTCTAATATATTTTAAATAATATTAATAATATGTAATATAATTCAGCGAGAACTTTCACAATTCTCAAGTCATCTTAACTTGTCATTCTCTGTCAAATATAAAGTAAATATATATATGTAGCATATATAAACATTGCTTAATTTATTTATTAAGCACTTTGAAAAATTACTTTTTCTGCACCTGTTCAGTTGGCTCTTCGATCCCTTATGTCTCTGCCTCGGTTTTGGCCAGTAGACAGAGTCACAGGGGACTGCCCAATTCTTGCTAACACTCAGACAGCGACGTTATTAGTATTTTATTTTCGACCTAAAATTTGATAAGGATTTTTGGCAAAGTTTTTTTTTTTTTTTTTGATATAGCAAACCAATTTAATATAAATAAGCTAAATAACTGTCCAATATTGACTAAACATTGGCTAAAGTTGTGGGCATTTGGTATATTTATATTTATATACATTTTGAAAAAATTTTACAAAGAAAATGTTTGGCTGCTTTCCTATTATATGATTTCTGTATCATTCTAATATATTTTATTATTAAGAATGTATCGGTAATAACGCCCTCTTTCTCTCTCGCGTTCTGCCTTTCTGTGTCGCGTTCACTGGCTCTCCTTCTCTCTGTATCTTCTTTTCTCTCTCCCTCTGACTGCCTCTACATCTTCCTCTTTTCCTCATTATCTGCTTCACTGTCCCTACTCTCTTTCTCTATCACTCTCTCTATCTTTCT